GAGAGAGCGCTAATGTTTGCTAGTTAGCTTGATAGATAGATAGATAGATAGATAGATAGATAGATAGATAGATAGATAGATAGATAGATAGATAGATAGATAGATAGATAGATAGATAGATAGATAGATAGATAGATAGATAGATAGATAGATAGATAGATAGATAGATAGATAGATAGATAGATAGATAGATAGATAGATAGATAGATAGTGTCTGCTAGTTAGCTTTTTAAGTAGATAGCTAACGTTAAGGAGCTAGCTTGAGAGAGAGAGATAATGTTTGCTAGTTAGCCTGTCAGATAGATGGCTAACCTGAGCTAGCTAGCGGGGGGGAAACTATGGATCCTCTAAATAACTACAACTATAATAAAACGTATAAAATATCATTAAATGTTTGTTTGTTTCCTCAAATCATTTACCGGTAAATCCAAATGAATCATTCCAACACCTCTGTATTGGAGACAGAAAATAAATCATGTATCATTTTGTAAATATCGTTGCTAATAACAACTTACCAAAGCTACAGTTTAGAGAGAAATGGAATAAAACCAATCTATTTTACTCCTTTTTAATATATTTGGGATTACTACCAACAGATAGAAGTCCAAAGAGACACAAACAAGGCTCCTAAAACCAGGGAAAGTTGGATAATGTTGTTGCCACAGTTTTCACACATGAACTCAAATACAGACTGACCTAATAAAAAATTAAAGATTGCGTGTCTGTCGAGAGTTTTTGTGAACATTTTGTCATCTGTTCCTCTCACGCCAAGTCTGTGGAGAGCTTGTTTTGAATCATTAAACAGCTGCTTAATACATTTATATTGGTCCAATGGCTAAGGTTTTATTGTATTATTAATAAATCGTCAAGTGTTCCAGATACATGAATCAGCGCATGGATTCAGACCAGTAAGAAATGTCTTGAGATTAAACTTCAGATGTTTAAAATCTCTTCAAACTTAAAGTGATGTGTTATCCGTGTAATCAGAAGAAGTGTCAGGAAAAATCACATTTTCTGAGATTCAGAAGTTGTGTAAAATAGAAATGTTAATTCTGTCCGGGAGCTGAGATCCATGGAGATGTACGAGTTTGGATTATTCTGACAGGCTTTCAAAGACGAGGACATTTTTACAGAGACCGACACAGAAATGTAAATATGTCTACATTTGGATATTTATAGAAATATAAACCACAACTGTCTTCTTTGCAATATGGAGATGTTTTCTATAAGTCGATATACCTCTGTTTTCTTTACGTAATGATCAGAAAAAAGGGAGATCTTTTAATAAAATACGACCGAATAGAGTAATAAAACAAAGGAAAGAAAATTAAATGACTTTACATAATACAGGTTTTGTCTAAAATGGGTAACTGGAGCGTGCGCCCTCTTACCAAAATGCAGATTTTCCCCATAAAATGTTGAAGTGATGCCAGGAAACAATATTTCTGTTCGTCAAAAACATTATAATTACTCCAGAAATATGAAAATGGTGTCAAATACAGCGTCAGACTATAAGATTATCTATAAAATAAATCGCTTTAGAATTAAGTCCAAGTCGGCAACAGCTTCCTTATTAGGGCTGCGTAATTAATAAAAAATGATATAAAAATATGGACTTGTGATATATCGAAAATGCAGGAAGAACAATATTTGTTAAATTCTAAACTTGTGTTAATATTATTCTGAATATTGTGGTGCTGCAGGAACAAACAGTACTGTTCAGGCATAATAAAAAAATCATTGTTTGGTACAGATCCTTATTTAATATATTCGTCAAAGATGTAAATATCGTTTTAAAAAATAGTATCCTGTAATATTTCTAATGCAAAATAATCAAAATATAATAAAATAATTCCCCAAAATCGGGCAGCTCTTAAACTTTACTATACATATATGCTCTTTTATTGAAAAATCAAAAACATGCTGCGATGTTAATGCCTGTTTCCTGACACTGACAGTGAAGAGGCAAAATAAAAAGGATTCTCTCTCTCTCTCGCTCTCTCTCACACACACATACACACACTCTCTCACACACACACTCACACACAAACACATTCTCTCACACACACCCTCTCACACACACACACTCTCACACACAAACACATTCTCTCTCACACCCTCTCTCTCTCTCTCTCTCTCTCTCGCTCTCTCTCACACACCCTCTCTCTCACACACCCTCTCTCTCTCTCTCTCTCTCTCTCTCTCTCGCTCTCTCTCACACACCCTCTCTCTCACACACCCTCTCTCTCTCACACACACACACCCTCTCTCACACCCCTCTCTCTCTCACACACCCTCTCACACACACACAACACTCTCTCTCTCTATCTCTCTCTCTCCTCTTGACTTCTTCCAGTTTTTCTGTCTGCATGACTGACATCGGCACAGACCAAAACATAATCTGCGTGACCCAGTTTCCATGGCGATGCACGCTGGCTGTTTGCTGCACAGAAGGAGGTTAGTCCATCCACAGCAGCTCCAATAAATCCTGAGGCCTCGCATCCCATAAACCACCGCCACGAAACATACATACAGCGCCGGCTTACACCAGATCACAAGAAGAGAGGAGCGGAGACACCACGGCAAAATACAGAGAACTACATCTGGATATCAGTTGTTATAATCACCTTCAATATTGCCTTATTTGGTGTTTCCTGTTACAGCCTAATTGCTATTACAGTGCATAGATTGCCCAGCTTTGTCAACCTTTACTTGCCAAAGACACATTACCTTACATTACATGTGTCACGATCTGTCTGTGTTTTATTTTGTCATCTCAAGATCTGTCTTTGTATTTTGAAAAGTGTTCACCCCCCTAGTTATGTCTGTTTTGACTTCCTGTCCCTGTGTTTCCTTGATGTTGAATGCCGAGTGAAGAAGAGAGAGTTTTTGTTTTTTTGGCCTTGCTTTACTGAAAGAAAATGTTCTGCAAATTACCTTGTGCTGCCCTTGGGTCCTAACTTTCTTCCTTACCCCACCGTGACGACATGTCAATTGTTAGACGCTTTTACCTGAAGCGACTTACATACACTCAAGACTGTGGGCAGTTTGGGGTGAAGGGTCTTGCCCAGGGACACAGTGGCATAATGACTGAAGTGGGAATGGAACCTGTGCTCCCCTGATCCGAAGATCACAACGCAGCCACAACCCTCCTTAGAAACCGTTTTCAAGCTTTTGAATGAACTGTTATTAAGATATAAAACATTTATGTGATTAGTTTATCCAATGAACGCTTATTTGGGAGTTTACGACGATCATTGGAGTTGAGGAGCTGAAGTCCGATCAAAAAATAAAATGTCAACAATGTTTTTATAATTACTATCACGTTCAGAACGATTGACTCAGGTCCAAATTGTAAGTTTAACCCTAGGGTGTTAAATAATTTAAAAAAATGTAAATTATGAGAGCAACCAATTGGGTCATAGCTAGATAGGTAGCTAAAATCTGCTAGCGAGCCTGTTAGCTAGGTAACAGAAGATAGCTTACTAGTTAGATAGCTAACGTTAGCTAGCTAGCTTTTTAGGTAGATAGTAGATAGATAGGATAGATAGCTTACGTTTGCTAGGTAGGTTTTCAAGTAGATAGTAAATAGATAGGAGTGGATAGATAGATAGCTTACGTTTGCTAGGTAGGTTTTTAAGTTGATAGTAAATAGATAAGAGTGGATAGATAGATAGCTTACGTTTGCTAGATAAAGAGCAAAAGAAAGAGTGTGTCCCAAGATACCTAACCCCAAATTGCTCGCGATGTTTAACCGTGTGTGAGTGTGTGTGATGTTAGTCTCCCTGAACAGGTGGCTAGTTGAATGCTGACTTGAGTTCATTTACCATAGACTTGCAAAAACAACTAATTTGTGTGAGAGAAAGTTATTGTATCATAACTACTCTCAAAAACAATCTAAAGCAAGTACTTGATTTTTGGATATAACTTGAAATATCCATCCCTACTCATATTTTCCTAGGCCCATAACTTTGACCCAGTTTATCGCACGCACGCACGCACGCACGCACGCACGCACGCACGCACGCACGCACGCACGCACGCACGCACGCACGCACGCACGCACGCACGCACGCACGCACGCACGCACGCACGCACGCACGCACACCACACACACACACACACACACACACACACACACACACACACACACACACACACACACACACACACACACACACACACACACACACACACACACACACACACACACACACACACACACACACACACACACACACACCACACACACACACACACCACACACACACACACACACACACACACACACACACACACACACACACACACACACACACACACACACACACACACACACACACACACACACACACACACACACACACACACACCTATAGAAACAGAGGTTTAGTGAGGGGGGTCTTCAAAAATAAATAAATGTACGGTCCTCAAAGCAACACAGATCTTAAACGGTTAATGGAGGCAGATTCATGAAACAGAGAAAGAGCATCTGTCCTGAAACCCACATATCACACACACACACACACACATTCTCTCTCACACACACTCTCTCACACACAAACACATTCTCTCTCTCTCACACACCCTTTCCTTCTGGAAAAGCTTCACAAGTACGTCGGTATGCAAATGCGCTTTGTGACACAAGTGACGGTACGCATTTCAGATTGTTGCCACGTATGCGTACCTGCGTACCAGTTATGTGCACCCCTGGTTATAGTGCTTCATCTTGTTATGCACAATGTTGATTCTTCTCTCAGAACCAGCTAAATACATGGGTCTGGGGTAGAGATCTTCAGAATTGGTTTTGCAACAACATGTCTTGTCAGTTCTCCGGCCGTTAACCTTATAATAAACCATCAGTGTTTGCCATCAAAGTTCCTGCTCTCTCCGTGTCTCTCTGAGTTTCGTCTCCATTTCTTCAGAAGTTTCCCTCACACCTACCTCAGACCATACATATCTACCAGGTTTTAACCAGCTGAAACTCTATTATAACTCACCCGAGGCCTCTTCCAGACCACACGTCCGATCCTGTTGCCCTGGTAGAAGAGCGAGTCGTCGTAGGCGGGGAATCTGGGGTCCTCGAAGAGAAGTCCGCTCTGCAGGCACTGCCTCTTCAGGGTCGAGTACTGCTGCCCCTCGAAGGCCTTCACAGAAGTAAACATGCTGCAGCCCTGAAGGAAACAACAAGAAGACAACGTAAGGTAAGGTACGTTTATTTATATGGCACATTTTTAGACACAGAGGCAATTCAAAGTGCTTTACATCAGCATTAACACTTAATAGCAAGACAAAAACTCAATAGGAAGACAAAACGTCAAGGAGGGATACCTGTCAGAGACACAGATGTAATAAGTAAGGGATACAGAGAGGTGGTCATTAATGAAAAACCACACACACGCACACACACACACACACGCACACGCACACGGCTGACTGTAATACCTTAACAGTGAAAGCCCTCAGTGGAAATAAGGAGTCGATGTTTGAGCTCAGCCTGAAATCAGTGGGTCAAAATGATTAGTCTGTCGATGCTCTTATATCCTCCGGGGTCTAATTATCACTGCTTTACATCGAAGGAGCCGAATACAGAGGCTTCTGAGAGGATAATCCATACTAAAACACAAACTTTGTCTATTGTTTAAACTACACTTTATTGTATTACTATAGGGCCTCTTCAGTATACAGGATTTAACACTTCTTCTGGTCATCTATTTGCATACTTCCTCCTCTACTCGTGTCATTTCATTACATAATCAATACAAAGCAGCCAGAAGTATTGACAGCAAACCAGAGATTTATTACGGGATTTCAAAGACTCTCAGGTCATTGACTCTTATCTCGGCTCGTCCTCGTAACACTGAGGCTCAATCAGACAAAGTGTGAGAGCATCTTCTGGTGGTTGTTATGTTGAAAAAACATCCAACAAATATATAAAAGCAGGAACAGATAATAGAATTCAAAGGAGCGAAATATACACCTGAACATCAGCAGGAGAGGACTCTTTAAAGTAGAGACACTACATACTGATATACACCTGAACATCAGCAGGAGAGGACTCTTTAAAGTAGAGACACTACATACTGATATACACCTGAACATCAGCAGGAGAGGACTCTTTAAAGTAGACACACTACATACTGATATACACCTGAACATCAGCAGGAGAGGACTCTTTAAAGTAGAGACACTACATACTGATATACACCTGAACATCAGCAGGAGAGGACTCTTTAAAGTAGAGACACTACATACTGATATACACCTGAACATCAGCAGGAGAGGACTCTTTAAAGTAGAGACACTACATACTGATATACACCTGAACATCAGCAGGAGAGGACTCTTTAAAGTAGAAACACTACATACTGATATACACCTGAACATCAGCAGGAGAGGACTCTTTAAAGTAGAAACACTACATACTGATATACACCTGAAAATCTTCAGGAGAGGACTCTTTAAGAGGACTCCACTTGGTCCTTATTTGAACCTCACACAGTGAATCTCTGACTGTCACAACACTGTCAGGATTTGTGATATCATGAAGTTTCCTAATTTGAATGTATAATTAATCAGGTGGACATGAGGACAGTTGAGGTCTCCTCTGTAAATGTTAAGCAGTGTTAGAGGTCGGGGTTTGACAGAATCACTTCTACATGCAGATCAATGCCGGCCTGCTGTCCTCAAGGTTAATTAGCTCATTGCTAATATGTCAATACAAACATGAGGAGAAATGAAAGAGCAGAAATGTTTGTCCTTCGACCTTCGTGGTACATTTCTTGGTCAATTGTTAAAAAAAACGTATTAAAGGGAACTAAATATGTAAATATATGATAGGTGGTGTAAAGGAAATCAAAAAATCTTCTTCCTTTTAAGCGTAAACACAATATACTCAACCTTAACAAAGCAGTCTTAGTCTACTCAGTTAAATTAAATCTTATGAATTATATATATTTTACTACTTTGTTTATTTTCAATTTGTATTCATTTTTATTTAATGTTCAATGACTTGTCTAAATGCTGCTGAGATAAAACAATGCCCCAAATTGGGATCAATAGAGTAAATCTAATCTCATTAAGTAATAATAATAAGTAAAAAAAACAATGTATCTGTGATAAATGCACATTTTAAAGCCTACAATATAAAATGGAAGAAAATGCATAAACAAAAGGTACATTTAGTGAATAATTCCCATACAGTTTGAGCTGTAATTCATCATCCGCTCCAACTGGCACGCGGCTTTGGAGTAAAGTAATACAACCAAATTCAGAAGAAGTGTCTTTAAGCTGAATTACTACCAAGCAGCAGCGTTATTATATAAAGTTTTTTTTAAATTGGGCCGAGTTCACCTCGCAGCGTTGCTCAATGACTCCTAATACCTGGGGAAAATGAAGTGAGTAGAAAATGGCCGGACGCCAAAAATGAAAAGGACAACAGGAGAAATCTGAAGACTGAACTTTTACATTCAATAAAGGCTTTAAAGAGGGTCTATCATGCTTTTTGGGGGGTTTCTCCCGGACACACACCAAGTAGAGACACTACACTGATATACACCTGAACATCAGCAGGAGAGGACTCTTTAAAGTAGAGACACTAAATACTGATATACACCTGAACATCAGCAGGAGAGGACTCTTTAAAGTAGAGATACTACATACTGATATACACCTGAACATCAGCAGGAGAGGACTCTTTAAAGTAGAGACACTACATACTGATATACACCTGAACATCAGCAGGAGAGGACTCTTTAAAGTAGAGACACTACATACTGATATACACCTGAACATCAGCAGGAGAGGACTCTTTAAAGTAGAGACACTACATACTGATATACACCTGAACATCAGCAGGAGAGGACTCTTTAAAGTAGAGACACTACATACTGATATACACCTGAACATCAGCAGGAGAGGACTCTTTAAAGTAGAGATACTACATACTGATATACACCTGAACATCAGCAGGAGAGGACTCTTTAAAGTAGAGACACTACATACTGATATACACCTGAACATCAGCAGGAGAGGACTCTTTAAAGTAGAGACACTACATACTGATATACACCTGAACATCAGCAGGAGAGGACTCTTTAAAGTAGAGACACTACACACTGATATACACCTGAACATCAGCAGGAGAGGACTCTTTAAAGTAGAGACACTACATACTGATATACACCTGAACATCAGCAGGAGAGGACTCTTTAAAGTAGAGACACTACATACTGATATACACCTGAACATCAGCAGGAGAGGACTCTTTAAAGTAGAGACACTCCATACTGATATACACCTGAACATCAGCAGGAGAGGACTCTTTAAAGTAGAGACACTACATACTGACATACACCTGAACATCAGCAGGAGAGGACTCTTTAAAGTAGAGACACTACATACTGACATACACCTGAACATCAGCAGGAGAGGACTCTTTAAAGTAGAGACACTACATACTGATATACACCTGAACATCAGCAGGAGAGGACTCTTTAAAGTAGAGACACTACATACTGATATACACCTGAACATCAGCAGGAGAGGACTCTTTAAAGTAGAGATACTACATACTGATATACACCTGAACATCAGCAGGAGAGGACTCTTTAAAGTAGAGATACTACATACTCATATACACCTGAACATCAGCAGGAGAGGACTCTTTAAAGTAGAGAAACTACATACTGATATACACCTGAACATCAGCAGGAGAGGACTCTTTAAAGTAGAGACACTACATACTGATATACACCTGAACATCAGCAGGAGAGGACTCTTTAAAGTAGAGACACTACATACTGATATACACCTGAACATCAGCAGGAGAGGACTCTTTAAAGTAGAGACACTACATACTGATATACACCTGAACATCAGCAGAAGAGGACTCTTTAAAGTAGAGACACTACATACTGATATACACCTGAACATCAGCAGGAGAGGACTCTTTAAAGTAGAGATACTACATACTCATATACACCTGAACATCAGCAGGAGAGGACTCTTTAAAGTAGAAACACTACATACTGATATACACCTGAACATCAGCAGGAGAGGACTCTTTAAAGTAGAGACACTACATACTCATATACACCTGAACATCAGCAGGAGAGGACTCTTTAAAGTAGAGACACTACATGCTGATATACACCTGAAAATGACCAGAATGTCCTTTTAAAGTAAAGCCTCCAGTCTCAGACTTTAAAATGAAAGACAAATATCCAGTAACTTGAATTCTCAGTAATGAGTGAGCTAGTAATCCAGGGGGAGTGAGGAGGTCGCAGTTGGAAGTGAAATCTGACAGATGGCCGGGTGTCTTGGCTCGTGACTGCGATGGGGAAACCGTGCTGTCATGTGACCTCGGAGGACGGCCAACAGCATCACCTGCAGAGAGGCTGAACATGCAGGGCTCTGAATTACTGCGGAGTAAACACTGTGTGAACTGAAGCTGCACAGTTAATCCAAATGTTATTACAATATGGACTAGTGCTGTATTCAAACAATGCACGGTGTTTGTTAGAGGCTAAAATATAATTCTGAATGAAGTGTGTTGTGGATCTGCACAGAAGTCCCAGTTTACAAATTGTATTCTGCAGGCTTCGCAATTCCTTGTAAATATCACACCATGATAATTTTTTTTATTATTCTATGACAATGCAGAAATTAGCAATGACTCTCATATGGTGATTGCAATATCAAAATAACCACAATTAGTTATTTCACCGGGTCTCTTTCTGTGGATTGATATAACTGCACATAATCCCTTGATCCCCCCTTAGCAACGGTCTGTTCTCCTTAGCAATGGTCTGTTCTCCTTAGCAACGGTCTGTTCTCCTTAGCAATGGTCTGTTCTCCTTAGCAATGGTCTGCTCGTGGAAAATAACAGACCTCTGGAATGTCCAAATTGACAAATCAGAATCAAGTATTCAAATAGGTTGTTTAATAATTTTTGTTGAACATTTTCTTTTTTTAAAACAACTACCTACTGCTGCTGGAAAGGACAAAACCAAAACCATTAGATAAAATACTTGTAATACTTCTTGTTTACACAACTGAATGCAAATGTTGAATAGTAATGAAATATTAGGTCAGTAATCACTGATATGGCTTCATGTGTTGTACTATGATGTGCAAGTTTTCACTTTATTTGATCTTTTATTGGACATTTTAC